GAATCATTCCAATGTGGGAATTATATGTGCCAAGTGGACATTTCTACCACAAACTCTATAATTAAGGAAGCAAATTGTTCCTGATTCTTCTGACAAGAAGAGGAAATATTATTGGCCATCACTGATGCGATGCAATGATAGTTTTGGCATATTTTGCTACATTATTCTTCCTATGGATACTAAATTAGTGATTGAGGATATTTCTTATGTCCTAATTTACTTATATCTTCCTAATTATAGAGATATCCAATTGTGTTTTCGTATGGAAACACAAAAAGACAACATTGGATATGGCATATAAGTAATAAGATACGTCTCGTTTTGGTTGTATTATGCATACAACCATCCCTGTACAATATGTTGCGTATAAAATAATTTTTCACACTGTTGATACATCTGAATTTAGAATGAACAACTTGGCCATCATATGGGATGAGGTGAAAAATTATTGGCAATTCTTTTGGTCAAGATTTTACCAAAGTGTGGATACGATAAGTGCCACTAGGGAAATAGATTTTAAGACCATCTTATCTTAAAATCAGATTAAATGTCTTAGATTCCTTATCATATTCAAGAGAATATGTATGAGTCCGATACAAAGATTGTATGGACAGTTTAGACAGTTCATGGTTGTAAAGATACATCTATAAGATGATCTAGAGTGTGTGAAGTATCCACACTCAGCCAGACATTTGGTACATAATGGCTCATGTTGTGAGCTCATTATCTTGAACAATACTTAATTTTTGTGCCTACAATGACGATTGTTTGGTATAACAAAAGTTTAGTTACATATCAAAAGGATAAATGGAATCTATGAGTATGACATCAAGGTCATAGTAGGACCATTATTAGTGAATTGCTATTTTCGAACTTCATGTTGGGGTCAGGTAGATTTACACTCCTGACTTGTGATTAACTACATATCCCCTATATGCATTTTGTATGTGGGAATCCATGAAGATTTCCTTATTTGAGTAAGATTGGGTTACATTTTATACGTACCAATCTCACCACCGCAGCGTACATTGATAGGCACACACAGGAAACTGGGGATCAATGTGAGATTTCAATCTCTGTTGATTGTTAAGTATCTAGAACCTCTTATGAAGGATCTATTTACGACCTCGTACGCTGGTTGTATTTTGATAATGAGCATTTCTACATATTAGGGGGAGAATTGATGTACCATACATAATGCCAGGAAATTATTTAGAATGCATAAGGCATTTTAAGCTTAGGATCACGTACTAACTGTTGAGTTCAAAGAATTATTGATTTGCATAATATTGCAAATAAACTGCCAAATGCATTTACTGACTACTAAGGTGTCTTTTAAACTTGTTAATCTGTTGCAAGTATGTGCCAGAAAGAGTGATGGTACCAAGTAAAACCACTCAACTCCCAATTGTAAATAAGAGGGGAAAAGCATGGCCATAAAGCAGGATTATTCATGCTAGCAATAGAATGTTTTTCTTCTAAGATAAGATAGTAAATGCAGGTCAACTTATGGTTGGCGACACCTTGTGGGTAAATATTGGTTATTACCCAGTGGATGGATGTCATCCACAAACCTAGCTCAAAGGTGCACCTAAATGCTAATGCTAGAATATCGAAAAGCCCTGACTCTCGTCTCAGGAAGTCATAATAAGTCATTCAGGGTACTTTGAGTTTTGATAACCAGAGAGTTATATCATAGAAATGCTACATGTGTCGACACGTACTTCTCTGAATAAACTATATACAACATTCCAAGTCATCCAGTCAATAAGACCATGGCAGAGTGCTTTGGTCACTCTTACTAGAACTTGTTGAGTGATGTAATACATGCAGAGATAGTCTTGCTCACCAGAAAAGAGGTGTTTTGGGCTATGATACCAACACCTCATGGTACCTTTACTGTGGGTATAAAAGTGTTTTCGTCCTAGAATGGATCGAGAATAATATGGTGGTGAGATCAAAGCAAGACTAGTAACACAAGATATTTACGCAAAGCCCAGCCATTGATTTTCAATGCAAATTATTCTCCATAGTAAGTTATAAATTTCTGACACTATCTTTTGATTGGCAGTACAAAAGCATTTATCGTTGTAGTTGATAGTTGATAGATATAGTGATCGCATATATTTATATGATCACTTGATTTTGTGTATTTGTGAAGCTTCTAGGAAGGAGTTCATATATACCCAACCCTCATATATAAAATCGCAACACATATTGTTTATTGCTTAAGTCAATATATGGCTTAAGACAGTTAAGTCGAATTTGGTACAATCAACTTTGTGTGTATTCCCTAAACTGAAGGGATACACTGGTGTTTATTTTAAAGTCCTTGATTGGATTTCATAATGTTATATGATAGTCAATAATCTTAACATCATTGGTGATGAACACATGTTAATAGCATATAGTAATCTAAAGACAGAGTTTGAGATGGAAGATACGGACTAAACTAAAATTTCATTTTATGTTTATGATCCAAGCATCTTCTCTTAAGATTTTGTATAAAAGCTATCTATATCCAGATCATATTGAGTGATTCAATATGAAGGTATCCTATGGTTGTTCTACCTCATGATAGAGGAAAATTGTTTTATGCCATAGTGACTGAGCTGAGATATTGGGACATGTGGTCCATTATCTCTGTGCTATTTATGCGCTAATAAATCTTGCAAAAGTTTTCGACCAGATATTATTTTTGCAATGGTTTGCTATCTAGTAGCAGCGCTACTCCTACTAAATGTTGGTGGATTGAAGTTAGAATATCTTTTGATATCTCAAATAGCACATGTGGTCTTAGTGTAATCCATGATCCGATTATGTGGATATAATGATTTAGTTATCTATAAGATCCCCAAATTTCAGATCATTGAAATTGGCTTTACATGAATATTGAACAACCATTTAGTAATAATCTTTAAATAGATATTTATGGTCAATTCCATTAATCATTCTGACATTGCATTGTACAAGGCTTCACATGAATGTATATAGCTTGACAGAATGATATATCACATACTAAAATTATGTGGTATTAATTTTATTGAATCAATGGTTATTAACTATAAAAGTAATCCAACTTGTGTTGTGTAGATAGAGACAAGTTATACTAAATGCAATATTTTTACACTAAGATGGTTCTGTACCATAGGTAATATGGGCATATGAACATTTGTAAACTAAGTCTTGTGATAATCTTGTAGAGATATTCACAAAGTCTACCATACTCCATATTTCGTATGTGTTGAGTGCATTGGTGTGAATTTACTTTAAGGTTTGCTAGTACCAGAGGGAGAGTCTCTAATTAATAACTTTTGCAAATATCATATTGCACTCTTTTCTTTGTATGAGTTTTTCCCTTTGGGTTTCTCATATAAAGTTTTTAATGAGGCAATATCAACATAAGATTATATCATATCATCCATTTTTTCCATTGGGATTTTTGGAGGGTGATATTGTGACATATAATGCATTGCACTCTTTTCTTTATGTGAGTTTTCCATTTATGGTTTCTCATATAAAGTTTTTGATGAGGCAATGTGAACACAATGGTATATGCTATATCATCTAGATTTCCCCACCAGTATTTTTGGAAGATGATATTTGAAGCATATTGACCCTATGGTCAAGGTGTTTTTAGACTAAGGCTTTGGGTTTATCTCAATAGGTCTAATAACATTGGTGATTGTATATCATGGTGTTTCTCCTTATTTTTCCCACTAGGTTTCAAAGAGTTTTGCCTAGTATACCGGTATTACTTTAGTTTTTTCCACAGAGTTTTCCAAAGATTCATAAAGATGCGCAATAGATGAACAGTAAATACTATAAGGAGCTAATTGATCAAGGGGGAGTGTTGAGAATTATTATTTAATGCTCAATTAGGGATTAATCCAAAGGGTGTCTTTTCACCCCTCTCTCTTTCACACTTATAACCGCCCATATAGGCTATGTATATATATATATATATATATATATATATATATATATATATATATATATATATATATATATATATACACACTATTTATTGGGAATACAACAGAGAATTATTTGCATCACTCACTTGTCTCTCGCTCTTTTACTTCTAACAAAATTAATAATATATGCATTCCCATCGGTGCATGGCAGTAGGAGGTTGAGCCTAGCAATTAGTAAAGTTGGTCAAAGCACACAGAGTTGGTCATCGGGTTCCCTTGATGGCGTCTGTTTCCACCAGACCTCAAAAGTGGCATAGCTGATCTGCGCTTGCTCATCTGTATACAAATGTTGCAGAGAAGAGCAGATAGAAACCTTCCTTTAATAACGCTCCTAACTCCGAAGTCCAATTACAACCCTGGACAGTGCTTCATCAACCAATGTATCTGCTTCTTCAATCTTGGCATTTCTGTACGCGCTTGATTTTCTTTGACATTTTATATAAAAAAAAACTATCAAAGCTGTTTACTCCTTGCGTTCAAACTTCAGACTTCCCCTTTATTTCTCTTTTTTCCTAATAACTATTACTTTATGTTAGCATGTGAAAGATTGTTTAACTATGTTTCGCATCACACAACTGTATCTTCTTTGCTTTGTCATTTTCAATAGGGCAAATAAATGGGCCTTGTTACGATGATCTTTCCAAAATATTATTTTGATGTACCCGTGTATAGCTAGCTTTTGCAACCATTATCCAAGCAGCATTGGAAATATCGTGAGCCATTGTCTCCATCCAAGAAGCATTGGAGTTACAGTCAGCCATCGTCTTTTGCACTCTAATTTTAGTAACCAGAAGTCTTATGTTCTTTTCATTATAATATATATTAACCAAAAGGGCTACCGCACTACCATTGATCACCATGGCCACCACACCGGAGGAATTCTTCATCAAGGATCATATGGAGCAGCCACCAGCATTCTAACCAGTCTTCCTTGACCTTCCCCAGAAGCCTAATGTTAGCAATGAGATCCATAATCATGTCCCTAATAATGACATGATGCTCCATTACATCTCACGCAAGATCATGGAGGACGACATTGACGATAAGCTCGATGATCACCAAGCGCTACTCCAGGTGCAGCTGCCCTTTGCTCAGATCTTCTACACCCCTTCCCTTGGCACTAACACCAACAACAGCGAGGGGTCCAAAGATTTCTTGCATGAAGGCCCTAGGGGTGAAAGCGCGCTCAATTCACCCTTTTCCATGGGCACATATGTGGTGGGGGCATCCTTAAACGACATGGAAGAAGCCAACATGCTCTTGACCAAAGACAATGGCATCATAAGGGATGAGTTGGGCAATCAAATCAGGGAAAGCAATATCACTGATAGTAGGTTGAAGAAAAGGTACAATAGGGATCACCTTATAGACGAGGAGGTAAGAAGTACCAACAAAGCTGTGACGATGAGCAAGGAGCCAGAGGAGAAACATGGCAATGAGATGCTTGACGAAATGATGTTGCATGCCTTTGAGACATGCATCAAGGGCATGGAGCGTGTCACCAAGGACAATAGTGACATGGATAAGAGAAACAGGAAGAGCAGGAGGATCAAAGCAGTGAGGGACAATGTGGTGGACATACGCAGGTTGTTTTGATCTCTTGTGCGCAGGCAGTGGCAGAGGATAATCACATGAGGGCGCATGAGCTACTAAAACAAATCAAGCAACATGCTTCAACAACAGGTGACGCCACCTAATGACTAGCTCATTGTTTCACCCAGGGGCTAGAGGCACGAATAGCGGGCACAAGAACCTGAGGGATACCGTCCTTAGGAAAATAAAAAAGATGAGGCCAGATGTATTCATCCAGAGCGTTTTGAATCATTCATATGGTTCCTCCTTGTCACGGTTTTGAGAGACACTCTTCCATTACATGGCACTATTTGACATATTGGACGCAACCATCCCAAGGGAGTGTGAATCTCGATTGATGCTGGAGCAAGTTGTTCTTGGACGTTATACATTTAGTTACATTTCCTGTGAAGGCATGGACCTAGTGGAACACCCTGAGAAGTATAAACAATGGCAGATAAGAAACCAAAGGGCAAGCCTAAGGCAGCTGCCACTGAAATCAAGCATTGTAAACGTAGTGAAAGATGAGGTCATGAAGCATTACCATAAAGACTTTATGATCTGCCAGGATGGCCAATGGCTTCTACAAGGATGGATGGGGCGTGTCCACTTTGCCCACACGACATGGGTAGCAAACGAAGACGCATCTTCTGGGTGGAGCTGAATGATATGGCAAGGTGTTCAGCGGCTCTCTATTTATACCAAACACTACAAGAGCTTAGACCTTCTATGACTAATTGATTATGACTTTTTCTTGTCATTATACCCCTTCTATGACACAGTGGTAACAATATGGCTGTGGTCATAGAAGGTGGGTCACTATTCCCCCTTCTATAACTAACGGACCCAATTGTCATTAATCTGCACGTTTGTCACTAGGTTATGACAACAATATTTGTCACTATATTTGACATAATATATTAGGCCTTGTTTAGATTGCAAGTTTTTTCACTCTCTCCATCACATCAAATCTTTGAACACATGCATGGAGTATTAAATGTAGATAAAAAAATAACTAATTACACAGTTTGATTGTAAATTACGAGACGAATCTTTTGAGCCTAATTAGACCATGATTGAACAATAATTGTCAAATACAAATGAAAGTGCTACAGTTCCAAATACGGATTCCTAACCCCAATCTAAACAAGGCCTTAGATGGGATGCTAACAAGTTTCCAATGACATGGCGAATCTCACATGGCACTTGACATGACAGATGACATGACACGATGACAAAAACAATCATCATAAAAATAAATTTAGCCCAATCGGCCCATGTATCATGGGCTATTTTCCACCACAATTGGGCTAAACCCAAATGGCACACATGTTATGCTAGTCATTAAGGCCTAGCCCACAATAAAGCCCATTTCGGTTTGGGCAAAACAAATTGAAGCAAGTGGGCCAGACCCACTTATCACAGTACAATCAAGTCAGTCAGAACCAGACCTATTAAATAATTAGCACAATTAATACATTCGATGTGACGAAGACAAACATTGTCATATTGACATTAGTACAGAATTTTGCCTTGTATTACAACATGCACACATAACAACCAAACATTCACCAAAATAGGTGTAGAATAGTTCATCAGTAGATAGAAACAATGCAAGCTTTCTACTACAGCCTGTACAAACTGGACCAAAAAAGATCCAGTAGCTCACCAAATAAGATATAGAAACCAAGTCACAATTTGATCGATGCAGTATCACCACAAAGCTCGAGTTAATTACACGTCACAGAACTTCCTGAAAATCAATACAAATGTGTATTCAGTGACCATTGTTAGAAAAGCTAGAAAAGAAAAAGGTTGTAGTGCTGCAAAAAAAAAATGATTCAATGAACAAGCGGAAACTATTGGCTGACAAAAAAGCAAAGTATGCTTTAGTTACATACAGGCACATATATGACACATAATTTCAACGACTTTGAAACTAGTTAAATGGTGTAATGCACATACTAATTTCTCTAGCTATGGAGGTTTTTTTCCTAAGTGGAGTTATACCATCAATCAGAGCCTCTGTACCAAACGTCCAAATTAAACAAAACTACATAGTTCCTGGACACCATCTCACTAGCAAGATCTAAGCATTCCATTTAAAAATCAACAATCAATTATGTAAAATCAGGAATACATGACAGAAGTTGGGGGATTCACAGCACATTTTCAGGTCTCTGTTCGTTTCAGGTCTCTGCTAGTCAATCTAGGATGAACGTTAGGATTACGATCTCTGCAATGACACCATCTCACTAAGATGTCCTAAAAGCATGCAAGCACAAAAAACTAGATGTCCGGCATATCAACAGATTAGGTGTCAAGTTACTTCCCAACGCATTTTATCAAACAGTAGGGGAGCCTGAGTCTTACGTACCAAATTGCTAGGAGCTACAACCGAGGTTTCCCGCTGCTCGTAGTGCTTGATGCCAGCAGACCACCGACGATGGACACTGCCGCCACATCCTCTACAGCTAGGACGATCCATCCAACATCCAAGGAAGAGCATTGGCCTATTCGAGCAATTTGTGTCTTCACGGGCCTCAGTCTGACGCACTCACCATGCGGGAAGGCCGCTACCCTGCAACCACACATCCCATACCAGCACCCAAAATCAAGAGCTAAATTAGTTTTAAAGGAAATCAGAGAAACACGGGAGAAGGCTGACCTGAGAATCCATAGCGAGGTTGCGGATCTGGTCACCGCGCATCCCAGATACGCCCCGTCCTCGCCGGATCGGGACGCCGGGCTGCAGATCTGGCCTGTGCCACCGCCTGACACTCCAGGGATGCGCACGACATGGACCAGGGCCACAGGCAAGCTGAGGGCTGGAGGTGTGGGATTAGTGGAGTAGCCGCCATGGTCGGTGCCGAGTGGCGGGGCGTGCACCGCCTCCTCGCCCCCCCGTCGGTCGGCGCCACGTCCTTGCCCCGCAGCCGGCCGGTGGGTCTCTCTTCACCGAGGGGGCGCCATGCGGCAGAGTGGAGAAGCGACGGCCAACGACGAGAGAGTGGAGGATTGAGGAGTCGTCGACGGAGCCGCACGCACCGGCGAGAAGGACCCATGGCGTAGGTGGAGTGCGGCGACGCTGCTTGGTGGCTACTGTCCGTGAGAAACAGGTGAGCGGCGGCCAACAGGGTTTTGGACCGTTTTTTATATGATCTTCTTTTCATCTTGGCCGTCCATTGAGATGAACAGCTCAGATTGCTCCAGGCATTAGGGTTTTCCTTTTGGGCTGCGGCTGGGCTCAAGGAGAGCCGCATGGGCCCTAGCTGGCTGCTGGGCCTATTTCTTAAGGAGCTGAACTAAGTTCTTGATTTCTGAATTTAAGTTCTTTTTGTTATTTAATATCAACATTTTTAAGTGTTTGGGGATATTACATGACTTTAAATGAAAAAGTCATCAACAACAAAGTTATAGGATGCATCGAGATCTAAAACTTCTGTTTTGTTTATTTCTCCATCTGACTTTCTTTGAACAATTCAAAATTTTAATTTCAAAATATGAGAACTTCGAACATAACTATGGGATAGTAAATGATTCCAAATGAAAAAGTCGTCAACAACAAAGTTGTAGAACTCATGGAGATCTACAACTTTTGATTTGGTCATTTTTCTATCCGACACGATTCAAACAAAGCGGTAGTATACATGTTCATAATTGGATACATCTTCATATTGTTCCCATATACTACGTGAGAGATGTATGAGATTTGTGAACAATGTGTATTGCCACTTTATTTAAATCATTTGAGTCTTTATGTAAAGATTATGCAATAAAAAAACATGCTACCATGCAAAATTGTAGAATTTTCTAACAAAATTTACAATTATTTTACGATATTGAATCCATCAGTAACTAGCCCAAGTCTAAGGTTTCTAGCTTCTTCAGCAAAATCAAGATATTGCCTATCAAAATCTTGCCACGCCTCACCATCAGCTGGATGACTCATTTCCTTCTCACTAGGCTTCCTCTTTAACTTGTGCCATTGTGCTTCTTCTGAACCCTCCTTGGTTACAAATATCCTTTGTACCCTAGGCACCAATGAAAAATGCCGCAACACTTTTTGTGGAATCTTCTTTCTCTGTGGGTCTTTCCATCTTGACAAACCACAAACTGGGCAACTGTCATGATCAGAATAATCCTTTCGAAACAGAATATAGTTTTTGAAGCACACATGGATCGATTCATATCCAAGACCTAATTCCTTTAGAGTGTTCTTTGCTTCATGGTATGATGTTGGTAGTGTATTAAACTCTGAGAATGCATCAGCTAGTAGCTTCAAGAATGCAGAAAATGCAGTGTTGGTAATCCTATAAAATGACTTCATATGAAGTAGCTTTACCACAAAGGAGAACTTTGAAAATTTGGTACAACCGGGATAAAGCTGACGCTTAGCCTCCTTCATCAAAGTTTCAGAAAATAGGCTTGCCTGTTTCCATCACTGTTTCCATTTTCTGTTTCAGTGTCATGCCTACCATGTCCTTCTATAGTTTGTAGGTCCCTTAGCAACCTATCTAACCGATCAACACCATTGTTGTCATCCTCAGCCACACCCATCCCATGTATGGAACCCTCATCAATGTCAAAAACAGGAACAGGAGCAGGAACTTCATTAACATGTACATTAATGTCCTCTCCATGAGGTACCCACCGAGTATATGTACAGCCCATGCCATTCAACAATATGTGCTTCTTCACATTGGGCCAATGCAGGTACTTCTGATTAAGGCACATAGTACATGGACAGAGAATCTCATCACTCTCACCAAATTTTTCTTTAATGAAATCCATAAATTCTTTGACACCATTGACATATTCAGTAGAAAATAGTGTGCTGTGCACCCAACTTCTATCCATCTGAACATGCATCGCGGAAACACACAATTTAATAAGCATGCACTCAATTCATATGCTGCAGTATAACAAAATCATAGAGTAGATGGCATACATGGCAAGTATGGAGGAAGGCAGCCGGCAGGAAGGGACGGTGGAGAGCGATTGCTGCAGTTGCAACCTACTCCATAAATCCAGCTGCCTTCCTCTTGCAGCGGCCCGCCGCGTGATTCGCCGTCGTCGAGGGATTGGGGGTGGCCGCTTGTCGGAGCGGCGTGATTCGCCGTCACGGGGCTAGGGATGTCCGCTCCTCGTTGCGGCGCGATTCGCCGTCGCTGGGCTAGGGATGTCTGCTCCTCGTTGCGGCGCGATTCGCCGTCGCTGGGCTAGGGATGTCTGCTCCTCGTTGCGGCGCGATTCGCCGTCGCTGGGCTAGGGATGTCTGCTCCTCGTTGCGGCGCGATTCGCCGTCGCTGGGCTGGGGACGACCGCTCCTCGGCGCAGCGTGGTCTGCTGTCAGAGTGTAGCGGCGTGGATTGATGTCGGAGGTATTCAGGGATTAGGGATTCAGAGATGAGATTTCTAAGCCAACGATATTATAATAAAAGATAACTATTCTGATTTCCAGCATAAAACAACGAAGTATTGCAGTGGTTACGTGTGCGGCACAGGAAGTAGGAGGTCACGTCCGCACTAGTTTTTGAATCCCACCGATTTAACGAAAAAAACGATCATAAAAAAATGTCATGGATCAACACAATTGAGAGACACACCTTTGATGTACAAAGAAACAGTCAATGTTTTTCCCATAGTCTTGTATGGAGATAATGATAATATATGAATGGTATGTTTTTTACAGCTTTCTCTGGCCGCGTTTTTTCCCAAGGCACCTATTTGTATTAACTAGGATCATGCCCGTGTGTTGCAACGGGAACAAAATAATTCCCGACCATAGTCGAGGTCAATCATACCCGTGCGTGGTCAATCATACCTGTGCGTTGCAATGGAACAAAATAATTTCCGCCGATATCAATCATACGAGTGCGTTGCAATAGAAATAAAATAATTTCCTACCACCTCCGAGCAGCGGCCGCAGTCGAGGTCAACAAACACCCAAGCTAACACTCCATCCACTGAGATGGGCCAGTAGGCATTGCCGTATCAGGATTCGATGATGGCAAAGGAATGCGGAGAATAGGTCATGGACAATACAAAATTCATAATAAAACATTTATTCTAAAACAGTATCATACTAAGAACATTTTATTTCCTTGTGCAATAAATAATCTTAACATTTCATCTTCTTTGTAGTAAATAAAATCAAATACCTTAAACTCATTCTAAATTTAGAAGCTTTAATGACATTTCTATTTGATTCTGTTCAATAAGTTTGATGAGCTGAGACACATGTATCCTCATATTTCTGAGTAAATCAATTGATTTACTTTTACATGGCTTGTGCAGAAGCAAGACTCATTTGTAGTCTTTGAGACAAAATCATTTAAGTGGTGCCACATCTAGCTAATGACCCATGCTTAGCTTAAAATTTGTGTCATTTTTTGCCTACACATAAGGACCGAGATTCAGTCATGCCCACCATTGTATTCACCTTGGACTCGCTGGCAAGCTGCGTCACTGGCATGTACAATATTCTCGTCACCTAATCTAATTTCTGACCTGCTGGCTTCATTCTTTGAACTTCTGATTTAATCCCTGCAGTGTTAATCGGCATGCAGCTGATTTTCACGAGGAACATTCTGTAACGAATATCTAAGAATGGAGATGTTGAGGCATGTGCCCACGCAATGATCTGCTTGTACTTTGCCTGGAAATGACAAAGAAACATGAAGATCCGAAAAATAAAAAAGAATGGACAGTTCCAAGATGCTAACTGGCCTATAAAATCTGTAGCCTGGCAATCCCAACCCATAAGCATCGATGGTTTGGGGAATCCCTCAGTTTTAATAATAGTCTAGGCACATAATATCTCAAATCCCAACCCATAAGCATTAATGGTTTGGGGACTCACCCGAGGGAGTGGATCAAGTAGGCTGCAGCTGCAACACAACACTCTTGCGAGCTGCTGCTCAGGGAGTATTGATACTTCTGCAAAAACAACTCCAAGATCAGCGCTACACCAAAAGCCGGCAGGATCGAGTTTGGAAGCCAATCTCAGGCGTTCCTTCGTTTCAACTGCACGTGTGACCCGCCCCTCATATGTCTTCGGCCCTGTTTGGTTCTAAGCTCCTAAAACTTTTAAGAGCTAAAAGTTTTAGGAGCTTTTAGGAGGCTGCCAAAAACTCCTGAAAAAGTGTTTGGTTCCACCTCCTAAAACTGACTAAAAACAATAAATACACTAGCAAAAAGACCATGCAACCCTCCTCCATACCCCTGCTCCTTCTCTGCTCCCGTCGTGGCCCTCGCTCTCCTCCTCCTCGCCGTCTCCGCGGAGGTGGCCATCTCGACGGACGGGAGTGTGAGTAGCTCCACCACGTGCCGCCGCCTCGTCTTGGTCGCGGCCTTCCCCCTTCCCATTGGGGAGCATGAGCGGTGGAGCACGGGTGGCGGCGGGGGCCGGCGGATCCGGCGGCGCGAGGGTCGAGGACGGGGAACGGCGGGAGGAGGTCAGAGGGGCGGCGCTGACTCGGGCCCCATGGCGGCGGGGAAGACAGAGGGTACATGGAGGCGAGTAGCGCCGCCGCCATCTCCAGGTCCAGCACGAAGGAGCGACGGACCGGTTTAGGGCCGGCGGATCCAGCGAGGTGAGGCCGGAGGCATGGGCGGGCGGGGCGCGGGAGACGGATCCGGCGGGCGCCACGCGGGAGAGGAGATCCCGGCGGGTGGCGGCGGCGGGGATCCGGCGGTGGAGGGTAGGGGCCGCAAGAGGGAGGTGCGGGTGGGAGGGAGGGTGGGAGAGAGAGAGGGGGGCAGGACAATAAAGGAGGGGTAGTTGTGGTAGAACCGCTTAATCTAATGCCTCCTAGGAGTGTTTGTCTTCCATTAGACACTAAGCACTCAGGGGAGA